TTGGGGGGGGGGGGGGGACGGGTACACATGCAATAAAACTGCTAAATTATAGAAAAGAGGTCAAGAGAGAAAAGAGTTGATAAACATAACATTTCTTTTTATAAATTATGCATTTTAAAATGATACAAAAGAATTCATATCTTTGAAAATTAAATAAACTTTTCTTAATTTAACTGGAAAAAAATATTTGCCATGAAAATACCAACGTGCGTTTTTTTATATTCCACGAAAGAAAAAACAATGTTAAAAGTCGATTCTAACAATGAATATCAAAGGTGAGCTTCAATTCATATCCAAAAATCTTCAATTGGTAGGATAACATGAAATTCCTGCAGAAAATGTTTTGTTAACCCACTGTTTTAAGCAAACTTTCTTGCGAAACTTCTTTTTTATCAACAAAATTTTATAAGAAAATCCAAATCATGCATGTAAATTTGTTTTAAATATGTTTAACTTTGTACATTCACTACAGTGACTTGAATATGTGATAATTATTGAAAATGTATCCGATTATATACAAAATTTTAGCCATGTAAACTTAGGAGTGAAGTTCAGTATCAAAAGCGGCCATCTTGGCGGCCATTTTGGATTTCTCTGAATGCCATCATTTATGCCAATTTATGCCGGTGGTTTCATAAACTACAAACTTTAACGAACATTTTGGTATATAACATTGCTTGTTGCAATGACTGTCCCACCTACCCTATTTTTTATCAGACTTTTCAGGTCATAGTCACTCTACCATAATGTTATGACGTCATGAAGAAGAACATAATAATTATAAAATCATGAAAAATGACTTAAAATCACTCAAAAGCATGAAATAGATAGAAAATTTGTTTGGTTTACATGCAAGATTGAAATCTTATATATATATATAAATAAATGAAATATTGGGAAATGCATATTTTCATTTTCCTTATTTTCAGTGCAAAAAAATATTTTTCACTGCACTGAAACATATTTTCCGTATTTGCACTAGTGCTTTGCCGGACTACTTTATTCTTGATTTAGCGAATACACGATATAAAAGTAGAAGTCTTAAGAACTGTAACTGAAGGTACAAAAAAAGAGAAAAAAATATAATAAATAGAAAATTTCAAGTTTTTTTTTCTAAAAAGTACAGGATTTATTTTCATCTTGTAATATGGAAATTATCATATTTCACTTAAGGCTCATACCACTTGTGAAATATTTATTTTCATAAATAAATCCTGTATTTATAGAAAAAAACTTGAATATCCTCTATATATTTCACTGGTGAACACCAGCTAACAATATACATGCAAAATATACAAGAGTAAACACGGTATTATTGAAAATATAAGAGTGAAATATAATTTAACTTAAATACAAAACAAATACAAATGACAAATTTACTTCCCCGAGTAGAAAAAGAAAATATTTGCAAAACATATTTTACATATTCTTTGATGTTTCAAAATTGTTTTATTAGCATAATTATATACATATAGATGTATATAATTTCACTTAAGTGTGGTATACAACCTCAATCACAAAATACAGGATCTTTAAAATATGCCATTCTATATATATGTCATAACACTACCGTTAAATGTCACAATATCTAAATATTGCGACATTTAACGGTAGTATTATGACTAATGTCATAACACTACCGTTAAATGTCACAATATCTAAATATTGCGACATTTAACGGTAGTATTATGACATTAAACGGTAAGGGAAAATGGTAAGACATTTAACGGTAGTGTTGCAACATTTAACGGACATTTAGCGGCGGTTGCGATATTTAGCGGTAATAGTGCGATATTTAGCGGCAAATGCGACATTTAGTGTCGTTGCGACATTGACGGCGCCACACTGGTTATAAACGTTTGCCTAACTTGAAGACCTATGTCAGTTGTCATAAACAATAATGACGTATACACGTTAAAAGCAGATAAGCATCTTAATATGAGAAAAGTAATATCACATTACAGTCATTAAATAAATACAATAAAAGTATTATAATTCATGTTTGAAATTAGTTGGAATCAGCTATCAGTCGTTTCTCTAACTACGGTTGTATAATAAATATATTTATACAATTTCTGTATAACGTGCTGTTGCGAGTTATTCATTAAGATCTTAAACTTCAATACATTTGGTCAGGAACACTAATATTTTGGCAGATGTTCTTTTCTTAGTTCATGCAATGTCATACGGACACGCAAAAAAATTGATATTAAGTTTCCACACCATTCATGTTGAATTCTTCCGATCACATCATGTCTTTTAATAAGTTGTTTGAGTTTATTTGTTTTATATAACCCCTGTAAACACGTATCATAGTAGGACATTTAACGGAAATTATTTTCTCAGATACGGCTTCACAATAAACCGCCTTTTCTATTGCGTATTATTAACTATAGAATGGCGGACATCATATACAAACGTGATGTTTTTTTTTGTTTTGTACGATCGTATCAGAATCTATCAACTACCAAAGCTTGGTCACAAACTTGTAACACTCAAATGAGTTTCACTCAGTACAACGGACCAACCACGTGACATCTCCGCTATACCTGTGGGCAGCCCTGCCAACCTATGCACAGCCCCGCCAACCTATGCACAGCCCCGAGAAACTATGCACAGCCCCGCCAACCTATGCACAGCTCCGACCATCCCGATCGGCTGTTTGAATCTTTATGATTTATTCACGTCGTAAATTCATTAAGAGAAAAGTTAAGTGTTGGTTAACATAAATAAAGTGAAATACGTCATTAGGTACTTAACAATCATCAAATGGATATTAGTCGCTCAGCGTTATTATGATTACTGTTCTCGGTGGAATTCAAGTTAAGTTTCAACATCATCAAAATTACAATAATTAATTTATACAAAAGGAAGATTCCTTTGAGGGGACTACTTTTCTCTTTATTGCAGAATACTTTTAGATCTATTTCTTCATTATTTGTAGACACACATGACTAATTCATGGAATATTATTTCTCCTTTGAAGTAAATCAAGTAAACAAGTTTCAGTATAATAATTGATAAAATGATATAATAAAATGTGTTAAAACACCAGGGGGGGATTACATCAGTTATTTTATTACAACTTTTTTTCAACGTGAAATTTAGTTCTTTACGTGACGTCGTGTTCTAGTTATACTCTTTTTCCGAAAGTTGTTTAAGAAAAAGAACGATTTGATGCGCCTTGTTTATTTACCTGAAGGTATTTGATTTTATTACAAAATCATTATTTTGTATACTATCACTCATATTTATATAGGTCCCACGTAAAATATCCAAGTAAAAATTATAGGTTTCGTTAAATCGGTAAAAAATTTCCATCTATTACAGAAAAAAGCAATAACTTTTATCTGAAACTATGATTGTTTATGGTAATAAATTTCAAAAGGTTTGTTTGTTTGTTGTTTGTTGTTGTTGTTGTTTTACATCGAAATTTACAGAAAGTCAAGACTGAACGCAATATAACTGACATATTATAAATAAATCATTTCACAGGGTTAAAAGTATCTTAAAATGATCTATGCAACCAAAAAAATTAAGACAAACAGAAATAATAACAAGACCGTAGGTTACTAAATTGTATTATAATGCTGAGTAACTAATGATTATATTCAGTTATGTAGTGCATTATCACTGCGGATGAGCACGTGACCAAAATCGTCCAATGGGCTCTGGGTCGTTAAGTAAACTTAATATTTGATATCTATACGGCCACGTTTTAGGAATAAATTCATCGTTTAACGTACACTGACCTCGATTTTAGTACTTTATCAGCCCATTGTACGACTATGGTCACGTGATCATCCGCACAGATGGTGATGAAAGACAATTTGACCATTAAAGAAGCGAATGTTTCATGGGGAAAAATGTTAAAATCAACAAAATAGGGGCCAATATTGGGTAAGGGTTGAAATTTTTAATATTTCAAAAGCAAATTATACTAATAAGTATAAAGTTTTTCAAATTTATGAATTTTCACATTTTGCATCACCTATTGTTTCAAAGCATAGTTCCTACACCGAAAATTAATCCTGTATGGGTAAATAATGAACTTATCTTAATATCTGAATCCATTCTGGATGTCCTTATGCGGACGCTCAAGTTTCGTGTTGCCATGGAATTAGCGTATTTAAAAAGCTCTATATTATCACCGAGTAACATATACATGTATGTTACAAAGTCCACAGAAATCTAAGTATTGGTTATTCCTAAGGTTAGATAATCTGATAAAAATGTACATTGTTTCTACGCCTATTTAGTTTCTAATAAAAGGGATGTAACTGAATTACAACATGCTTGTTTCATGGATGTAGTTATTTCGCTTTGGCAACTTTGTCACTTTTTACTTTCGGTCAAGTTAATGATATCTCTGCGGGAATTTTATTTAAATCAAATGAGGCAATCTTATTCATTAATTAAATCTCTCATAATCAATAGAGGATATTCAAGTTTCTTCTATAAATACAGGATTTATTTTCATCGAGTGGTATGAAAATAAATATTTCATGAGTGGCAGTGGCACTTTTAAGATGAACACAGGTTTCATTTTATCAATCTGGTCATATTTTCGTCCCAGGTCCGATACTCGTGCCTGTGATATTTATCGGTTATTTTTAAGCAATTCTGCCGTGCCAGTACTTTTTTTCATATGAAAAACATGGCCGTGACCCTTTTATGTCTCGCATCCGTATTCCATTGGTTAAGAGGGACTAGGCCTCCGTTCCCTTTCTCTGGTTGCACAAACATTCGAATCTAATACTAGTATTTTCATCGGATTTTTCGTTAATAAGACGATTTTTGTTTACATAATTGTACATTCGAGGTACAAAAAATATGATTGCGTCAACTAAAGTATACTGCACCGGGTTAATATATAGGACTAGATGAAGTATATGTATAAATAGCATTAACATGCCTTGATAAAACAAACTTTATTTAAAGATAAACATAGTAGGTCACAACGATATACATGTACTTACATGTGCGCTATTAAAGCGGTGTCAACTACAATATTGATTTGACATGATATGGTTGTGTACCTTTGTGTAAATATTAACACAATTGTATTGACCAATGTTTAAATATAGGCTATACAGTATAGGTGATTGTAAATTTATAGTAATGATTCCGAAAACAAACTTGTATATAATTAGACTAGTTGGGAAAAGTGTAGTTCGTGTTTAAATATGTTTAGCGATATCTGACTGCAGTGTGTGTAGAAACTAAATAATTTGAATTTCAAAGTAGTTTTAACGGATAGAATGAATCAAGGCTTAAAATTAGGATCATGCTCATATATGTGTTCTTTCGACAATGACAGCGGTAATTCTATGGTTGTAAACAGTTCTGATATTAGTGATAATTGGAATTCATTTGAAAATAATGACGTAGCTGATGACATAACAGCTAACACCAAGAGAGGTTTCAGTGTTCCTGTTAAACACACAAGAGACACAAACAAACATGGAAACGATACTAGTAGCAGACGACCTCTGTTGCCTCCGTGTGTTGTATGTGGAGTGACATCTACAGGATTTCATTATGGAGCAAATACGTGCGAAGCATGTAAGGTAAAGTTATTGTTTTCATTGCACCTTTTCAAAAACTTTTATGATCAAAGATCTGTGGAAGGGAAACTTATCATCACATTACGCGCACGCACACCTACGCGCACACACACACGCACGCACGCGCGCACACTCTCGCGCACGCAGATTATCCTTAGCCTGCTGGCGGCAACTATGGTTATACGACCAGTATACTGACTATAATGACACAGCCGTGCTGTCTGATAATAGTATAAAACTTCCCTACTCAGTCTGTACATATCTTTTGAAATTATCCATAAAAATAATGAATGGTTTTGCCAAGATTAAAGGATGGACAATTACATTTTAGTTTATATAAATGGAAAACCTGGTTAAAAGCATGTAGTGACATACGCACACACGTGCGCGTGCATACGTGCTCCAGGCATTCACACCATAATCTACACGCAATAAGCAAAATTTCACTGTTTGTATTAACTACTTGTATATAAATATCAAAATAGAAATTTATAGCTAAGATAGCCATTGCACCTGTGTACAGACTGGCCTGGCACCATACTGGTGGCAAAAGGATTATCATTTCCGGTTTCTGCAGTGTAAGGTAAAGATACTATTGTACAAAAAATTTCAGGGTTTCTTCAGACGAAATTCTAAGAAATCAGCAATAGTTTACAGATGCAAGTGTACGCCGGAAGAACAGGACGCTTGGAAACGAGGTTCTGTCAAATATGGCTGCCAGGCTTGCAGGTTTAAAAGATGCCTTGCTGTTGGAATGTCCAAAGAAGGTATAATTATAATATAAACTTTAAAATTAAATGCAGTGATTTATTTAAAATTCTAAATGATAATAGTAACTAATAAGACTGTGATATAGTGCATGGCAATTTTTAAAACTGAAGGTGTGTTTCTTTCTTAGCACCAAAAACTGTTCGAACTTTAGAAGCAGTTACAATATTTTTACTACAAGTGGCATCTAAATCGTGATTTAAACTTTAATTAAGCCTAACATTCGTAACAACTGCATATCAGGAACAGTGAGGAAACAATTTTAGAGCCCTACTCAGTGTGACTGGGACAGTAGGGCTCGAACCTTGCTTTTTCAAAATGTCGTATCGCAGTACTTTGGAAAATGTTAGCGGGTTCGTTTAAATAACAAAAAAAAACAATATTGTAGTATGGCCTGAAACGCGCAAATATACAAATTAGACATGATTTGATGCAATGAACATTTTCTAGATTTTTTTACGGTATTTTTGTGTCAAATGGGAAATTGGCGTTTGAATTTAAAAAAAAAAAAAATTATTTATTCATTCATTCATTCATTTTTTATTTATTTATTTATTTATTTATTTCTTTTTTTTTTGAAACGTGAAACATTAGACACGATTTGAATTTTCTTTTCAGCTATAAAATTGGGGAGGTACACATACACTCATAAGACGGAAAACATAAAACGGGTAAAGTACATCGAGGCAATGAGTAGAAACAACGAGAAGGTTTCCACATTTTGGGAAAATACTAGTACATTAAGTTCATCTTTCCCGTCTTCTAGTACGAGTTTTCCGCAATCGAGTGAGTTATTTAGTGGATTTACACAAATGTTTTTTTATAAAATAGAAAAAATATAATTGTAAATCTTTGACATTTTTGAAGCTGTAACCATTAGTATGCAAGATAATAACAATATCCTTTTCTGTAAGTGATTTATAAAGGGTATAAAGGTATATCTTATGAAATATTTTTATGAAATTTATCAACAGTAAAATTATATATATTAGCCTAATTAACTTAAAATCTGCAACGTGTAAAGCTCCAATACAAGAGACAACTAACAGGTCTAATACGAAATTCAAACAACACAGGATAACGTGTAGCCCTTTAATTTACTTACGTCTGCAAATTTTAACATTATGGTCATACTGTTTCAGACAATAATGTTTGTTCGCCTTCACAAGCACTTGTAACAGATGCTGTCATTGGTTCTTGTGATAAATATCAGCCAATGAAATTCACTTGTAGAAAACTGCATCTCCATGACTGGTTCATGTCTCAAAAGGTAAAGTAGAACATTGTTACGCTTATGGAATAATATTTAGAGAAATAAAAAGAGGTCATGCTAATATTATTGTTAGACAGTAAATCAATAAGTGTCAAACACAGACGCAGATGTAAGTGACAGTTTCTCGATCTGACAAAGTCATTTTTATAGTTAATATAATACATTTTCTTTATTTGTACAAGTGTCAGCAGACGTTAAAATAATATAATATATACTATGACGTCTGCGGTCCGGCAAATATTACAGTGACAGCCTGAACAAGGTCACTTTGATTCTTTGAGACCCTCCGTGCTGTGTTATATATTTCTTAATTAGTCAAGGCATCTTGAACTAAAAGACTGGGAACAAGCGTGCATTTTCATATAAACAATGTTTTTCAAAAAATAGCATACATGTATTTGGTTAAAGTATTTATCGTTAGCATGAAAACATAGAAGAAATGAGAGAGAAAAGAATCCCTAAAGAAAGCCCTAAACAGCAAATCTGAAAATGTTGCAAGCTCGTTTTGGCCGAGGGTACTGGGAAATGTAAGCTAACGTTCACGCCCCTAGCACCGCCAGTATTCAACATTTAATCGTTTGATGGTGAAATTTTGAATTAAGAAACATCCGCATATGTGTTTTAAATAAATAATTGTCCAATAAGATTGCAATTTTACAAATAAATCGTTACACATTTACTTTGGTATTTAACACTGTAGTAAATCAACTATATACAAATAGTTTCGAAAAAATAATTGCTTAATGTTCATAAGTAACCGTTTACCAAACTAAATTGGTCAAAAAAAACGATGTCTTCAAAGGCCATATATTGCATAGGTCTAGTTGTTAAAATGGTCGGGACAATTCCTCCCTTCTTGAAAATTGTTATCGTTGCTGTTTTACAGGAGATGGATGTCATCATAAACCAAGTAACTGAAGGTTATCTAAACAGTGTTCAGTCGATAGATACACCGATAGAAACTATAAAGAAAAAACAGTCCAATTACTTGGTAATTATGATATAAATACTAATTAAACCGATCATACCTTTAACGAATCATTTTATAGGTTAACAACTTTGATGACGTATACACGTATACACACTCACAACAATATGTCATCCCGGACATCGTCGTTAATATATCATTATATATTCTATGTCTATTTTCTTGTTGTATTAATCATTATCATCAGCATCATCGTAATCATCATCCTTGCCATCATAATCATCCCCCTCTTCATCACCAGAATTGTCATTATTTAGAAATCGTCATAATCATCATCACTGTCATCATCATTATCAGTTTTGTTTATTATTATGAAATCATGATCATAACATTGGATAAAAGAGCGTCAGTTCAAACTATCGTGTTTATGATTGTATCATTTTATCAGATCTAGGATAGTTAATAAATAAAATGAAAATTACAAGATCGTGTTATGTTTGAAGTGAGTATTAATTCAACCATTATCAAAGGAATTAACTTTACATGATATTTTCTCTATATTAGTAACAAAACATATATCAATTTGCATTGTATCTTATTTTTTAATGATCGGTTGCCAGACACCGGTATTCGTTTTTTAAACGGTCATAATGTTTTTTCTTTATTCCAGGAAAATTATAATTTAAAGCAACAAAATCAAGTTTATCCGGACACTAATAGTCAAAGGTGTCAGGTGGCAAATATTTTGAAACTGTTTGAAGATAAGGTACTTAAGGCTGTTGCTTTTGCCAAGAATATACCTGGATTTAGAGACCTTCTTTTAGATGACCAGGCTAGCTTAATTAAAGGTAATTTCTATAATTATAGAGGTTTGTGTAAGAATCTGTTTATTTTACAGTAAGTTGCTTTGCCAACTTATTATGGGAATAGATCTACTAATGCATATATCTGAGACAAAACTATTTGATTAGTAAGGATAGATGTGTAATATGATTCCCAACCGACACTAAACCCTTCTTCTTCATGTAACTGCAAATAGTTGTAAGTCTAGAAAAGAATACAACAGAGTTGTCTCCCTTATATAGCCACATTTGTTTATCACAATTGAAAACATTTTTTTTTTCATAATGTATGTTGAACTATGTAAAAGGAAAATTTTAGATTTTAGTGTGACATTGACCGGCTTCTATTGTACTGACTCTGATTCATTTATACAACTTTTGTATATCTTACAATTACCATTGCCATATAAATAATAAACTAAATAGTAAATCTTTTTTTTTATTTCTATTTTATTTGATTCAATGAATAAGAGCATTATTTCGCGCGCTTCACTACAATTGAATCCGGTCATTATTATTCCAGGTTACACACTGTGAATACACAATTTCGTAAAAGATATTTTATGTCATGATAATGATCTCTAAAGTACCGTTTAATATAAGAGCTATTTTGTGTGCCGCCAGCGCTTATTATCACTATTAGTAGGGATACCATATTTTTCCTTCTATTAAATATGCTCCAGTGTGCTAAAATGCTTTAGTCCGTTTTCGCGCCTTAACTATATAGGCAATGAAGCGAAAGGTAGTGGAGTTTCAGATAGGAGATTGTTTCAGGGAAACGTTTCTTGATGGTTAAAGTATGAGAATGCCGAGTTGTGATTTTCAATACATCTTAAATCTCCACCCATGCAACATTAATGTATAATGTAAGGGAAATACTTTTACATTGATAATGCTTAGGAATTTAAGATATCAAGGTATGGCGCAAATTATTCTCAATTGTTTACAGCGGCGCGTGTGGAAATGACGTTGTTCGGCGGACATTCATACCTTGTGACACACATTGACACCGAGAGAATGGTTATGACGACACCATGGGGAGAGGAAATACATTTAGAAGAAATCAACCAACTTATCCCCTTAAATATTATCTTATTAAGATGCCAGTTTGCCAGAAGAATGACAGAACTTCAACTGACATCAAAGGAAATGGGCATATTCAAAGCTATAATAACAACTGCATCGGGTAATTAAGTTCTTTGTGTTATATTAAACGTGTAAATACAAACAAAATTACTTTGTAAGTTCAGACCTGGTGAAAAATACACCTGTTTTTAGCTCACCTGTCACAAAGTGACAGGGTGAGCTTTTGTGATCGCTTTTCGTCCGGCGTCCGTCCGGCGTCCGTCCGTCCGTAAACTTTTACTTTAAATGACATCTCATCATAAACCACTAAGCCAATTTCATCCAAACTTCACAGGAATGTTCCTTTGGTGGTCACCTTTAAAATTTTTCAAAGAATTTAATTCCATGCAGAACTTTGGTTGCCATGGCAACCGAAAGAAAAAACTTTAAATATCTTCTTCTAAAAAACCAAAAGAGCTAAAGCTTAGCTATTTGGCATGAAGCATCTTCTAGTGAGTGTCCACCAAGTTTGTTCAAATAAAAGCCCTGGGGTCAAAATTGGCCCCGCATCAGGGGGTCATTGATTTTCCCTATATGCATATAGTAAAAACTTAAAAATCTCCTTTTAAAGAACCCAAAAAGCTAGAGCTAAGATATTTAGCATGAAACATCTTCTAATGGATGTCTACCAAGTTTTTTTTCAAATAAGAGCCCTGGGGTCAAAATTGGCCCCGCCCCGGGGGTCATTGATTTTCCTTATATGTGTATAGCAAAAACTTTAAAAAATCTTCTTTGAAAAAAAAAAAACAAATAGCTAGAGTTTAGATACTAAGCATGAAATATCTTCTAGTGAATGTCTACAAAGTTTGTTCAAATAAAAGCCCTGGGGTCAAAATTGGCCCCGCCCCGGGGTCATTTATTTTCCTTATATGTGTATAGCAAAAACTTTAAAAAGTCTTCTTTGAAAAAACTCAAAAAGCTAGAGTTTAGATACTAAGCATGAAGCATCTTCTAGTGAGTGTCTACAAAGTTTGTTCAAATAAAAGCCCTAGGGTCAAAATTGGCCCCGCCTGGGGACATTGATTTTCCTTATAATGTGTATAGCAAAAACTAAAAAAAATCTTCTTTGAAAAAACCCGAATAGCTAGAGTTTAGATATTAAGCATGAAACATTTTCTAGTAAGTGTCTACAAAGATTGTTCAAATAAAAGCCCTGGGGTCAAAACTGGCCCTGCCCCAGGGGTCTCATTGTTTTTTACTATATGTGTAAAGAAAAAACTTAAAAAATCTTCTTTTAAAAAACTCAACGAGCTAGACCTTAGATGTTTAGCATGAAACATCTTCTAATAGGTGTCTACCATGTTTGTTCAAATAAAAGCCCTGGAGTTTTAAACCGGGGGCCTATATACATGTGAGCGACTTCAGGGCCATCATGGCCCTTTTGTTTGTTTGTTTGTTGTTGTTGTTTTCTGTTGGGGATGGTTCTCGTGTTTTTCAATATTTGTAAATAAGGGTTAGCCAAATACCACCGAGGTATACTACGGTTTACGTTTGAGGCTAAATAATTTAAATAAAATCAAACATGAGAAAAATGTACTAATTTTTTTTAAAAAGTATAACAAAATCAAGTATTCATTCAACATGTTATGTGCAATTAATGACTGAGTTTGCAGTGCTTATCACGATATTTCAACTGCGTGACTAACGCAGTAAGAGATATTTTTTGCATATCTTGGCTTATGTTTAAGTATTGTTCTTTTTAAAATATTTTCAAAATTATCATGAAAATATACATAAATCTGGAGGCATGCTGTTTTAAATGAAAGCTATTAAGGAAATGTAAACCAAATAAAAACAAACATGTGATCGGGTTCCGAGCACACCACTTATACATAAACAGATTAAAACAGACATTATTATATTTAATTTGTTTCATGTTGGAGTGTTGTGCTTGTAATCCGAACAAATGTATATATATATATCATATGTATATATTTTATCCTCTTGCATGTTTGTTATATATATATATATATATATATAATATATATATATATATATATATATATATATATATATATAATATATATATATATATATATATATATATATATATATATATATATATATATATATATATATATATATAACAAACATGCAAGAGGATAAAATACGATGATAGAATCCAATTAAATTCAACTTCTGTTTCGACCTGAAACTGATGAATTATAACAAGCATGATTTTTAGTTTTATATTTTATCTTTTTTTTTTCAGACCGTTGTACATTAATAGAAGCATATAAAGTTGATGCTCTTCAAAGAAAACTCGTGACGTGTTTACAATATCTGCTTAACATCCGGTCACATGGACCTGGTACCCTGCTCTATAACATATTTTCCCTTATGACAGACTTGCGCGAACTGACCGAAGTGGAAGCAGAACTGTCGAAAAAAATGTTGTCGGACTGGCCAACGGTATCCAAGGATAATTTTTATCTTTTGAAAGAACTCAGCTCATGACGAAGGTTTCTTAATAGTTTTAAAAAAGAGAAACATTGCATAAACTGTACTAGCTGATGACAACTTAATCTAACCAGTGTAGACCAAACCATGGTCTGTATCATTCACTTTCAGACAGTACATTTGCTCAGAATAAAAGATAGACACGTTCATTGATATCTAGCAATAAAATTTTTACCATATTATTCTAATATGAATGTGTGTTCGAATAAAATTAGGTAAACAAAATGGACGCCGAAAATAGATTTTGAAAACACTATTAGTATTTAAATTAGAGAGTTTTAGAAAATATTGAACATGGCGACATTGTTACAGACTATACTGAGAAATATTTATGCTTTTGAAACAAGCTATAGATAGATTATAATCTATATACACTGTAATAAGATCTGTTTCTTTTTCTTCTGTAAATGAAATGATGTTCCATTAGTGTTTTCTAACGATATTGATAATTAGTCTATATTTCGAGCAAAAATTGTTATAGGAACTGAAAATATTTATAAAATATAGATGTTATGGTATCTCCATATAGTTGTTTATATATGTCTATAATATTATATTGTAGTTGAACAGTTTTATAAACTGAATGTTGTAACTCTACGTGTTATTTATACAGCTCCATCACCTGCAATATAATAAACTGTTACAAACGCTGCCATACTATATACCGAGTTAGAAAGTGTGGATTTGTTACAAGGAAATTTTGTATACTTATTTAAGCAAAATATTGGCATAATTGGTATCAAAATTTGCAGAAAAATATTACCTTTATAATGGTTTATATGTCATTTTAATTTGAATATTATCAGACCATTGTTTACGTGAAAAAAGCTGATGGGCGGGAAAAATGCAGAACTGAGCCTTTTTGTAAATGAATTTTTACCTTTTAATACTTGAATTTTTGAATGAAACATCGTTTGAACTCAAGTTCATATGGCGTTATGTATAATACAGGCATTCTGATTTACACAACAGATATACTGAATAATGGTCACGTTACAAGGCTAATACCATAACAATCACAATATTGCACCACGAAACCAAAATTCTGTTAATTATCAAATTTCAATACAAATTAAACCATGATAATATAATGTTATAAATCTATACATTTTAACTAAATTTGCCAATATTTTGGACATGTACATGTATGCATACAGATTTTCCAAGTAACCAAGTGAACACTTTCTTTTGCAACTGAATATAGTTTTTCGAATGCCTAAAGCTGAAGATTATTGCCAACGCATGTTACGAAAATAAATTTTAACCTACATTATAATGTTTTGTATATACCCCTGACATGTAATAGTTATTAACATTTCTTGGACAAGTTAAATACAATTCTTGATGACCATCCCCAACGACCATGAATGTAAACGTCTTTTATAACATAACCAAATAATGCCAATAATTGCCATAATGTCAAAATCACCGTTTGTCGATCCATAGTAAATGCATATTGAACACGTGTAAGTAAAACTTAATGGTTTTATTGTACATTAAAAAAGCAAATTGAGTTGTTTTACTTCCAAAATGTTTGTCTTTTAAAGAACGAATGTGGTGTGAAATTGTAGTTTCTATTAAATTCGCAACATTCATTATTTCGCAGTTTAACAAGTCCGTTGTGATGAATAGACCTCACTAATTGAAACATGAACCATGTATATTCCCCCGACCATGATCAGACCTCTCCAATGTTTTGAGAATAATTGCTGTCGGCATCCATTTTTGCGTATCAAATTGAAGTTAATGAATCTCATTTAAAACTTAAAATCATGACAGCTAGTCTCATAAAAACATATGTTATGAGGAAGCGAAATACGACTTTCATGACTTTACTTAGCGATGTGAACAAATCGGAAAATCGTAAAATATCATTTACGTAACATTTAACACTACAAACAGTGGTCCAATCCTTTTTTAAAACCTTTGATTGTTTAAATTGTCGAGGATTATTTTGTTGTTAGTTTGTTAATTTTATTTTTAATAACGTTTTTACAGTTAATATATAGCTAATTTATCACCAAGTACTACTATATGACACAGTAAATCGTGTACCGAAATTTTGCTGCTTCGTTAACTTCGGAACGCCTCACCGTGTATCACTGATTAGAGCTTATTCGGAGACTAACGAAACTTATAGCCAATATGTTGCTTTTGTTCGAAGATGTAATTTGACCCATCAGATATTCTTACATTTTCGTAATTTGAGAACAAATCGCCGGTCCGAAAAGCGACAATTTTACCCGGACCTCTTGCTATCATTTTTCTTGCGGAAGAGCTATGAACCTTATATTGCTGTGAAGAAGATCATCTAATCACCTTAATAATTACAGTATTTTTTTGTTGTTTTTTTTTTGTTTACGTATGTAGCGTTCATTTTACAATAACTAACTGTGCATGTCCTCAATTCGTGTTTATTTGTCACACTTTACTTACTTTCATTTTTAGAAAGTATTGAAATAATGTAATTCTCAGTTTGAGAAGGATGATGCCTCTAAGATGTTGCTTTTTCAGATACGGGCAAAAAACCAAATCGACCGTCCAAAAACCGACCATGCCACGCGGAAATCTCATGGACATATTTCTTGGTAAGGCCCCCACACGTTTAAACGGATTCGTTTCGATTTTCATTCCTAAACGTTTACGATATTTTTCACTGTTTAATCGAAATGACCATATTGTCCTACAAAATATCTTAATCATTGCCTGTAATCACGGCTTTTATCAATTCCAGTTGGTTTATTCCAAAATAAAAATGGAATATGGGTGTTTACAACCATCCACACACTTATCACCGTGCAATAATCGCTTGTGGCATAATGCATTTTTGGTAAAGTTGATTTTCCTTTGATCTTTCAAAAGAGTGAAATGGGAATACAATGCAGAAAATGTGTGCCGACACAATCGTGATGAGCCCTGAACATTATTTATTTGTACATGTATTTAAAATAGAAAGTATTTCATCATTTGCCGACTCGAGGCCGACTCCGCATTGGAATCAGACAAATGGAGTTTAAAAAATTTCTGTTTGTTGTTTATACAATTTATATAGGAAAAGAATAAATCGTCGGAACAAAAAAACGACCCTGCCACGCGGAAATCTTATGGACATATTTCTTGGGATTAGGGCTTTGGACCTTATACTTATTGTTAAAAGAATTCCCTCAAAACTCAGAAAATAAATGCTGTTTAAACGGTTGGCTGAGGAAAATGCTGTTTTTATACAATTTATATAGGGAAAGAACAAATCACCGGAACAAAAAACGACCATGCCACGCGGAAATCTCATGGTAATATTTCTTGGCTTAGGGCTTTAGGCCTTATATTGTCTAAAGAAAAATCTCCAGACTTGTACAAAATCGAATCCGCATTGGAAATCTTATGGACATATTTCTTGGGATTAGGGTTTTGGGCCTTATATTTATTGTTTAAAGAAGACCCTCAAAACTCAGAAAAAATGCTGTTTAAACGGTTGGCTGAGGAAAATGCTGTTTTTATACAATTTATATAGGGAAAGAACAAATCACCGGAACAAAAAAACGACCATGTCACGCGGAAATCTCATGAAAATATTTCTTGGGTTAGGGCTTTAGGCCTTATATTGTCTAAAGAAAAATCTCCAGACTTGTACAAAATCGAATCCGCATTAGAATAAGACAAATGGTGTTTTAACGGTTGGCTGAGGAAAAGGGGGGTTTTAAAAAAATAAGAATACCCTCCAAACTTGTACACAATGGAATCTGCATTGGAATCAGAAAACTGCTGTTTAAACGGTTGGCTGATGAAAATGCTGTTTTGTATACAATTTATAGAGAGAAAGAACAAATCGCCGGAACAAAATGACCATGCCACGGACATTTTTCTTGGGTTAGGGCTTTGGGCCTTATATTGTCTAAAGAAGACCCTCCAAACTTGAAAAAATGTGGAAGCGGACAAAAGGCCTTTAAATGGTTAACTGAAAAATATTGTATTTTTTTATACATTTTATATAGAGAAAGAACAAATCGCCGTAACACAAACGACCATGCCATGCGGAAAAAGTTCGGCCATATTGCTTGGGTTAGGGTTTTTTGGCATTATTTTGTGCAAAGAAGACCCTCTCAACTTGTACAAAATCGAATCCGCATTGGAAACAGACAAATGGTGTTTAAACGGTTGGCTGAGGAAAAAAGATGTTTATATACAATTTTTATAGTCTAGACGGAACAAAAAACGACCATGCCACTCGGAAATCTCATGGACATATTTCTTGGGCCTCATATTGTCTAAAGAAGACCCTCCGTTTTCATCGGAATGGGTTAAACTCGACCGAACGCACAATTTATTTGTGTATGTACTTGACAGCTTTGAACAAAAAAATAATAATAATAACAAAATTCATAAGCTTCTTAACACATTATCACCTAATGGTATTAATGCAAAAGTTTTGTACAATATATAACTTTGTCATTATTGAGCCGGTATACATATACATGTATTATGTTTTTTCTCATATCAAGTTTTTTTTTTTATTTTTATTATTATTATTATTTATTATGAGAATTTTTGTATCACATGTGCAGATCCATATTATATGTGTATTTTTTTGTATATTACTGTATTTATATTCATGAAAGATTCTGTATTTATTTGACAAAGTTTTTATTCCCGCGTTAACGTCACGTTCGGTTTAGCGTATAGTTAAACGGACGTTGCGTCATTTGTCATTTGTTATTTTATAAACTTCAATTTTTTATGAAGAAGACTAAACGTCGAAAGCTTAAGAAAAGCGTTTGTTTTTATTGAACTGATTATATATTACAGCTTTGAACTTGAATTGTTTAGCAGTACTTGATAGCTTTTTATATAGGATATTTTTAACACGAGTTCTTGACCATTTACAATTGGTTTTCAACATAATTACTCATGTTATTTCTTGAGTGAAATCTATTGAAAAGTACAAAGTACGCTTGATTGAAATGAAAAGAAATCTATAAGGAAAAGTCACCCTTAAAATATAATAGATGAAATTCAATATAAAAGGAAGAAAAAATCGAAAAATTATGTTTACAGAAAACGAAAATCGTTGATTTAGGAACAAACTGATATTTTACGAGAAATTGAGAAAGGGAGT